CTCATGAAGCTGAACAATTTTCAATATTCATTTCGTCTACAGCTACAAGACACGAGAAAATATATCACAAAAACTTAATTCTCAATTATAAATTCATAGCAATAATTCCCTCAACAAATTCAATTTCGCAAGCGACTATTCGGATCAACTCGTCAAGTCTTCGTATTTCTTAGATCCCAGAATGCACCGAGTGTGAATGAACTAGTTCGGAAGAGCGCTACCCAACATAACTTTTCTATTTAGTTCTCAGATCTTTTTAGTTTTAGTTCATATGACTAAATGCAAAAAATCTTGCTTAAAAACAAGAACACGTTTGCTTAAGGGTACTAGAGGTAGACCAGCCTATGTAGTTGGAACCCTCCGAACTATTGTGGTTTGCAGATGAGTTCCGAACTAAACTGAGAGTTCCGAATCGCAAACTATTATGCCCAAAACTAGCTGAAGTTGCTTGCCAGCTGTAAAACGTACAAATTACACCTGATGCCATTAAAAGTCGACGCTCAACAATAATTTACGGAAGCGCGAACACAAAGCGCAGCGTACTTGTACAGTCGTGATAATTAAACTCGTTAAGTCGCAACGTAGTCAGGGTACGTTTACGATTTCACTGCTGCCATCTGAATGTAAGAATGTCTATTTCCACTAATTCATTTTGCCAGAAGTTTTTCTTATTGGATAAGACTTAATTAATACTTTTTATATATTCTGAAGATGGTTTGTTTGAGACATGACATACATAAAAGGAGAGTATGTTCAATATGACGAATATTAATGATCAGTGAAATATGACATACTGCGCTGGCCCCAAATAATGGGACAAAGGTAAGGCAATAATAACGATTCGAAAATAACAAATGGTACATAGTTTTTTGGGGTCGCTAGTGGATCATTAACACAGCAGATTTGGATTTGAGTTAACAAGTTCCATGTTCGAAGTTATGAAATTTTATTTAAATCCGTTAAGACTAATAAAAATCAAAGTTACAAACATACACAATAATAATATTAGTGGAATAAGGATAGTACTGAGGGACGCGACAGGTAATGAAGAGCCCGTCTTGCCACTATAAATACAGATCATGTACAGCCTAACTGTCCCCAGACGGACATTCATCACATTAGTTACGGACCCGGGGCGCGGTGTCGGGTCTGTGCACCGAATTATTCCACTTCCATTCCTACAAGGGTCCCCCTGACACATGGGGACAATATAACTTAACACTACATTATTATTTTATCTAGTCAATTTATCTTTAGTTTTTTCCCGCCAAAATATATTGTTGGCAGTTGGTACGCACATTTCAAATGGATGGCAATTGTGTGTCAAAATGTCACGGCCAATGTTCTTTCATCTTTTCACGTAATAAAGAAACTGGGTTAACGTTTTTAGTGATATAAAAATTCTATAAAACTGATGCTAAGGCATTTTTATTGATATCCGACCCTCTGAAATGGGAGACAAAGGGAAATAGATACGCATTCGTTTAAAGATCACATAAACGTTGATTATCCCGGTAATTGGTACAGCTTCCTTATTCTCGGTTACTAATTGTTAACGTTCATAATGAATAATTAATAACGTATCTTTGACGAGATAACGATCAATTTTCTATTATATATTTGATTGGCTCCGGAAGGTTTTGAATATTATTATTATTCTACGTGTAATGGAATGTTATTTAAATAATAATCAGTACTCATATTTTGTAACGGAAAAGGTTGAAAATTTGTCATTTAATTAGATTAGGTATTGACATTATTATTTTTAAATATTTATTATATCTTATGAATATTATATTAGGAAGGCGGAAGTTTGTCGCTGTGGATGGATGGATGCATGAAAGTTTGTTACTTTTTGCGCAAAAACTACTGAATGGAATTAAATTACAATAAAATTGCTTATTTATTTATTACAACTTTTTATGCACAAATACACAAATAAAAATGCATATTTCGGCCATCTTCAGGCACTTAACAACAAACAATGTATAATGTATATCTATAACACTATATTATATATACAAAAACATAGGATATATATCATATAGGTACCTATCTCAAGAGGCAAAGCAAATATATATAAATTTTACACGGGTGAAAGCTCAGGCACAGCTAGTTTTCTTTAATTTTATGCCAGCAGTATCATTATGGTACACCACACCATCTTATTTTAAAAAATAATGATTAATATAAAATAGTTACGAACTTAGAATCACTTCATTTTAAAAGCCTTTAAAGACAATATAATGAAAAACGGTGCTTGTGCAAATGTTAGCACATAAAATGAACACGTATCGGAATTAATCCACGGTATATTTACTTTTTCATGTATCTATATTATATATATTTGCTTTGCCTCTTGAGATAGGTACCTATACATATACAATGAAATGTCTTAACTACTACATTGTAGAGCAAGTTTGATTAGAATATAAACTTTGGAATAAAGTTAATGCTATGTTACTTAACAAATTTGCTTAGTTACACAAGGAAGACCTTCTTCATAATATGTTACGTAAGTAAGTTAGAAGTTTTGTTTGTTTTCCCTCACTTTATAAAGATTTCCGGTGCTCAGTTCAACTCAGTCTCCATTTTTATGAGAAGCAAATTTTAATGTGTATATACATATGTGCATGTATTTTAGGTACCATTTTAAGTTTCGAACCCAAGACCTTTAATTTTATGCCAGCAGTATCACTATGGTACACCAGACCAGTCTTATTTAAAAAAAATAATGATTAATATAAAATAGTTACGAACTTAGAATCACTTCATTTTAAAAGCCTGTTAAAAGACAATATCCTTAAGAGGGTAAAATGAAATATAAGATGAAAGTTGAAGATGATGAAGAAATTCGTCATTTTCAAAACTTGTACGATGAAACTTTTTTCTTTGTATTTTTCGAGTTACATTATTAAATATTTATTATTTATTTGGTAAAGGTCACTATTCCACACGGACGAAGTCGAGCTTGTTAATTTATAAAGCAAAACAAGGTTTGCCGGGTATTAAGCCGAAAGACGGTGCTTGTGCAAATGTTTGCACCGTCCGAGGAATTGAACACGTGACCATTGGAATTAATCCGGTGTTATGGACCGCTATACCACCGAGACCGTCAAATGAATCAAATTAATTTGGCTTAATAACGAGCTTTTTTTTTATTCTCATATGTTTATTTCGAGTAGACATTTGGAAACAACAAAATATATTTAGGGAATTGGAAAATTGGGAATTGTTTAGGGAGTAGCCTTTTAATTAGGCATCGTTAAGTACCCTAGAGGATTTACAAAGTCGGTCAGTAATATTAAGTAGTTATCTGGTAAACAATATACTGCGTTTAGCAAGATGAGATATTTTTTAAATGTATTTGAAAGAAATGTATGTACCTGTATGTATGTACATTAAAAGATTTTTATTAGGACTAACAAATAGATGTTCGGGTTAGGGTCGATTTCTCTCTTTTGTTTTAATACTATTTTAATATATTCTAAATTATTATTATATATATAATTTATGAAACGGAACACTGCTGTAATACAAAATAATTAAATAAAAGACTCATTAAAAGCATCATCGAATAATGCGCTGTTAAATGTTAACGACGTTAATCACAAAAAAAAAATTACCTATTATATACCTAATTCATTATATTTCATACAAAATTACAATAGATATATTGACAAGTACAGACTGATCTTAGATATAAAGAAAGCGTAAAAACAAATTAAAAAAAAAGAATTATCATGATCGTGTAGCACAGATAAGATGTGCTCGTAGTTTACACATTGTGCTGACTAGGTACCTCTCTTTATTCTATTTCTGCCGCTAATCAGATTGCTTTGTGACCTGTTTAGGTATGATCTACATCAGCGACATTATTTTAATCACCCTCTTATACTAAGGTTAAAGAACGTATATTATTTTAATTGGATATTAATTAGGCCGAGACAGTGTTTGCGTGAGTGGATTTTCATTTTCCCCCCCGTATTAACATACCGATAAAGCATTACTTACCTATTTCTCTACGTACTGTTTTTAATGACCACTCCCCAATTCTGTCTGCTTATGAATTCACTTACATTAGTGATTTAAAAACGTTCATTCAGCATTCGGAAATGACCAATGAGCTGTAAGGTTCAAGTTCTAGGGGAAAGGTAAAATTGTTTTATAAATCTGACTATGAATGAAACTATCTGTTAATACGTAGACGAAATACAAGATTTTTATTTATTGTGGAGTTTAGAAATGTAAATGAACCCAAAACATTAGAATTATTGCCAGTGTATCCGTTTGTTTGTGCGTATGCGAGCGCTAATCTTAGAAACGGCTTAACCAAGTTAGGTGCGGTTTTCACTAGTACATGTATTAAAACAGGTAAGCTTCTGTGTAAAAAAAATACTTATACGGATACTAAGAGAAGAGAGACTAATACGGGCATGTATTTGTATTCATGAGTATGATTATTGGTTTGAATGTTTTATATGTATATTGTGCTTAGCTTGGGTCTAGATGTATGGTGTGTGTGATGCAATGAATTATCTAGTGATATTATATTTTTGATTGACTTAGTATCCGTTAGAAGTATTGTTTTTGCTAGGAGTTGAACCCGTGATTATCGAAAGTAAAGCGTTGTGAAATAAAGCGGCTAAACCCATAGACCACTAAATCCGTCAAATTGGTAATGAATAAATTAGTATTCTAGTCACGAACATATTGTTTCATTCCGTAATACTACAGTCTTTGTGGTCAATCATAGTCTATTTGAAATTGTATGTCCTTTAAATAATCTATAGAACTTGTACTACGCAGATGCACATAGAATCATCTCTGATGATGGAAATACTGATAACAAACCAAAGTAATCCAACAGATAGAAAATATAAGGTAAACTGCCTTATGTTTAGTGTGGCTTTCCCTCGACGTCGACACCATCTCTGAGTACCTTATTAGGGATACTATATTTATATCAATATTTATGGTGTATTTTTTGTCTTTTGCAGTAGAGGCGGCTCTAAAGGCCGTCGGGAACGATTCAGATTCAAGAGGTGATAAGAAAGACACAAAACTGCCGCCACACGACGAACCCAACATGATGGTTGGTGAGTATCACTTTGTGATTAAAATTGATTGCTATATTATTATTTTTAATGTAATATGACATGATGATAGGTTTGACAAAAAAACTGACGAATTGCTTGACGAAGTGGCAACCGATGTCTTTATATGTGTACAGTACAGCATCACAGACATCCGGCATTGCCATTTCAAAGGACTCAGTTGACATCTCCAAATTTGATTCCCATTACGGACCTTTCATAAAGGAACACAACTTTAAGGATATATTAAGGTTTCTTTAGGGTCTGTAAAGTGCGCTTGACACTGGCGCTGGTGTTTCAGGCGTCTCTAGGTTATGGTAACCGTTTACCATCAGATGGGTCGTATGCTTGTTTGTAATAGAGATATTCAGTAGATACACCGCAGTAAATACAATTTATTCCTGATTCTATCAAAGTCGAATGTAACAGCTATACAATTTTTTTATTCCACAACCAAATTATACACTATCATCGTATAAAAAAAACTTATAAATGAATAGACATTGGTATTCTGAGTAAAACTGCATATCGGCAGAAATAGGTGCATATGCAGATGGCTTTGTACATAGTCTATATCGATCAAAGTTCAAAGGTTTTTAGTACATTATTACAATTATATAGTACAAATCACAATCGCTATTTGCTATTGTTTCTTCATTGAGTTTTTGTCATCTTTAAACCTGCCTTAAAGCAAAAGTCCATATCGTCTAATTAAATAAATTTAAACATATATACATACATAGAGCTATCTAGTCCCAAACTAAGAAGAAATTGGTGGAACTTAACATCTGGAAGTACAAAAAAAATGTTTAGTACTTCATATTTAGAGATTTATTTTCTTTATTATTCAGAGTTACTGCTGATGTATAAATAATATAAAATTGTGAGTAGACCGAGAGATAAAACAATTATTCAAGAAAAAAGAAGCATATAATTATATATGTATACTTATCTTGAGAGGACTAACAGTAAAAAGTAACATAATGTATAAATATTTATAAAAGGAATGATGGGCAAACTGCCAGGAACAGATATTATATCTGTTATTTCCACTGGATACCTAATAACTATCAATTTTAATGTAAGGAAAATATGTACCATGTTAAATTTTAGTATGCCCGTCACCAACCGCGGCTAAACCCATGTCTAAGAACTCTACGAGGCGAGAGTAACTAGATTATTTACCTGTTATTCGTATTACGTTTTGCTTTGGAAACTTCTCTTGCGTTGTCATGATAGAATTGAAATAATAAGGAATAGTGTAATTACAGAGAAGTGTGGATTGAAAGATGATGTAGTGATAAAGTTTGGGAAGATTGTGTTGCTCTGGTTTTTTTTTTTGGAAGGATAGTAGATTGAAGAGATCTATCAGGTATGAAACTGTGGAAGTTCAGGTTGAGGACGTTCTAGACATACTTCGTCTAGACATAATAGATTTTATAGACTAATCTAAATAATAAAATAGTCTGACTTATCGATAACTGGTCTAATAGAGTGACATATTGCAAGAGGGCCAAATAAAAAGTACCCATTACCGGCGAATTTATATAAATGGTTTGATAAATCTTTACATAATATATAATAAGGTCTCTTAAGTTGTCTGTTAGATATATTAAACTATGAAACGGACATTATTGTAGTTTCTTAGGAATAGAGTGATTCAGGAGGTTTATTTGTATAATATATATACACATGTGCGAAGCCATGGCATTGTATCATGTATGCCACATGGCATGGTTAGTGTAGAATAAATAGTGTTTGCATCCTGTGTATTTCATTAAAATGCTCAGAATATAATCCAACGTATGAGGGCAAGTTCTTGCGAGTTCTTGCGTTATTACTATACAGTTTTAATCTCTTCAGTCTCATATTTAAGATGTAAAATATGTTAAAATATTCATATTTTGCTTTGATACGAATACACATAAGTATATGACCCAATTCAAAGCGGTATCATATTTCACGCTGATTATAACCACGTTATGTTCCACTTATACTCGCTTCCCAGCAATTAGCACATAATAATATTATCAAAAGCAATCGGATACGTTGAATATGCCGTAAATTTGTGGTTTACATACATAATTTGTATTATGATCAACATACATACATAACATGTTAAGTTTTCAATGGAATATAAATAGGCCAATTACAAGGAGTACAACATTATGTTTCGCAGCGAAATTGCTTTCACAGTCTTGTTCTGGTGGATGCCAAATATGTAATTGTATCATAAACAGTCCGGTACATATTGTTGTCTACACATGTAATATAATATACACAGTATAAAATGAAGTCGCTTCCACCGTCTCTTTGCTTAAATCTCTTAAACTACGCAGCGGATTTTAATGCGGTTTGTAGTAATAGACAGAGTGATTCAAGAGAAAGGTTTATATGTATAATACATGTACACCCGTGCCAAGCCGGGGCGGGTGGGTAGCTAGTAATATTATGAACAGTTAATTTCTGGTACACCTGACCACATTTATAAATTCTTGTATTATCGGATAGCTAGTTCATCAACAAATGTCATAGGCTATATAACATCAGGCTATGATAAAAAAGAACGGTGCTGCAATGAAAGATAAAGAAACGGGTGAAATGCTATGCAGACGAAGTTTCGCGGTTCGGCAGATATTATAATAGATGTTTTATATGTTGATGCTGGCCATTTTTATGTACAATGTGTGTTAATTTATAACAATTTATCTACACTTATGTTCATAAGTGTAGATAAATTGTTATAAATTAATCAAATTGACATGTCGTACAGGCCATATTATTATAAATATTTCTTAAAGTATCTAGATACAGAGGTCAACTTGCGTACAACACTTATCTGTAATGCCATTATTATGTATAATACTCCTTACTTTTACACTTTTCTTGGGTACGAGTTTCTTTGAATAATAGGATATAAACAGATTAGTATAACACCTATCAATCGATTTGACTTTGTACATTTTCATCGAGTTTTACTCGATCTTCCTTTAATGGCTACTTGTGTGCATTTTATGTGAATTTGGGAAAGTCACTCCTTCTTTCTTTCATGCATGTAACTGTAATCCAGTCAGAGCATTTTTTTATTTATAACATTTATTTATTTATGTCTATAACTTTAATATTCATAATACAAAAAGTTAGTAACATATGGCGAACTTAATAACTTATGGCTATTATATATAATCTACCAGTCAACCATGGATGGTACAGAGAATTATTCTTAAACAGCATGTTCCATTTACCTTATTCAACGGTGTGATAATTTCACTGAAGAGACAAAACTCATATACTCATATATTCATATACAGTTTCATAAAATCATATAGTTTCCTCTAAATTTAAATAGTGCTTCTAAAAGTGAAATAGTCCATTATTACAGTTATGAGTTTAAATTAACAATTAAAAGCGTACTGTGTAGGCGGGCAGAGTATATATAGGGCCTGGCAAACATTTGAGAAATGAATTATAAATATCAAAAACCATACGTCGTAATAAGTATATGTGTTCTTAGGAGGATATAAACATCCCGAAATCAGTTCGGAAACCTGAAAACCGCAAGCGTGTTTATATCTGCGGGAACTGTGAATATGTTGACTCTATATTTTAACAGATTTGGGATAATACAGGCATACTACATTACATTGGCCAATAGCAGTTTGTAAAATTACACTGCGGTTGCTACACTGTCGTTACTATCTTTGAGTAAAGTTGAAGTTATAGCTTTACTTCAATTTGAATCTTAGAACATTTTCGAGTCTATTCGAACAACTTATGATTGTCACAATGGACCTATATATTGTATAAATATTTTAATGGTAACAGTACAGATAGTAAGCTGACATATTATATAGAGTTTTGGTTTATATTTTAATCACAGAATAGAAATTAATCTTAAAATATATTTAATATTAAAGAGTTTCTGGACATAAAGACATTCCTATATTCTATGACATTACACGAGTCATTCATTGATAGCAATCTCGTTAACTATCGCCTAAAGCCAATTTTTTTTATTAAAATTTAAATATTTAGCAGGTAGAGGCATAATGGCTTTAATGTAACTTTCATTTACTTAACTCACGTCGATATTTGCTTTTGGCGGCAATATGATCTTCTTTTGACTGTAAATTACTGTATTCTGACATACATGTTACTTCACTTTTTATGTCTAATCTAACTCATTCATTTCCAGTTTCCATTTTTCGTTCCAGTCGTTCGTCCTGATAGAGAACAGTCCTTTTTTAGTTTCTCGTGTTTTTTTTCGTGGATGATAATGAAATGTTGCACCAACCTGCCCACCCTGACAAATTCAGTAGGAATTTATCACGGTGGTTTTCAGAAGGAACCGCGTGGATGTCGACCTAACATGGTACATTGCTAGCAATGGGGCATTACCAACAACCCTCTTCCCCCCTGCATCCTCGTATTTATGCGCGGCTTCCACTTCAATAAATTCCTCCTCCATCCTTCGTCGCTCACAAATGTTATCAATATGTTATTCTCCCCTTGCTTTTACGGTAAGAAATAGACATAAAAGTATACCAAATGTCTATACAGTAACTTTACCTGTTTATTTATGAAACTAATAGCTTTCTCTTACTACTACAGCAAACACACAATAGCAACACACAAGTTTCTTGCTTATTCTTCTTGTGATGAATCTGCATTCCGAATAAGCAGTAGAATAAAAAAACTTGACTATTCAAATATATATTGGGTATATTGATCGATCGGGATAAAAGTAATCTATTTTCTTTCAACAGATATCTATATATCTATATATAATTTTATAAAAATGGGTTAACCTGTTAATACGTCAAGAGATAAGAAGTAGCATAAGAGTTAACAACCAAACTTAATTTAACATCAATCATCAATTGAATTCGTAAGTTTTTTTAATTCCATGTACGTATCGTGATGTCCTTGTGAACTAATTTTGTTTATTACTTATTCTACTGGAGTTACTTTTGCATTGCTCCTATGTTGATGGACATATTTTT